CCAAAAAAACCTGCCAAGGAGCAGGTGGTCAATCAGATAGTTGGCACGAAGTCTTCTGAGGGGAATGATGAATTATGTGGTGGTGAAGTGCAAAGTGCTACTAATTTAGCAAATGTGAAGCAGAGTACACTTTCACGTCCTTCTGGAAAGCTGATAGTGGAAAGAAATAAGCAAAGTCCAGTGCAACTAGAAGTGGGAGCTATGAAGTCAGTGAATCTGCAGAGTAAGACTAGTATTGACACAGGGGATAAAGAGATGATGCAAAAGGCAGCAGGGGGAGAATCTTCTATAAGTAAATCTCTCTCATGATATATCTTTCTTCATGGAATGTGAGGGGTTTAAATGACCCTATTAGACAAGTAGATGTTAAGAAGTTTATATGTTCAAATAAAGTCCAGTTTATGGCTTTATTAGAAACTAGAGTGAAACAAGAGAATAGTAGTCGAGTTGTGCAAACTTTTGGTAGGCAATGGGGATGGTTGAATAATTATAACTCTCATCCTAATGGTAGAATTTGGATATTATGGAATAAAACAAATTTGAGGGTGACCGAAGTAATACAAACAGACCAATTACTATATGTTGAAGTATCCTCTGCAGTTGGGGATGTTAAATTTTTGTGCACAATTGTCTTGCTTTTAATACTTTTGATGGTAGAGTAGCATTATGGGATCAAGTTAGAGCTCTAGACGTTGAAAATGTGCCATGGATAATTTCTAGAGATTTTAATACAACTCTAAATTATGGTGAAAGGGTGAAGCCTAGTGGAGTTGTTTGGGGAGATACCTCTAAGCTCAAGGATTTTGTCAGTAGAATGGAGGTTTTTGATTTGCAATTTTCAGGTGCTTTCTTCACTTGGAGTAATAAGTAAGGGGAAAATGACAGGCTGTGGTGCAAGCTGGACAGGGTAATGGCTAATTCAACATGGGTTAGTACATTTCCAAATACTTCTGTTGTCTTTCTAAATCCACAATCCTCAGATCACTCACCCTCTTTAGTGACTGTGGATGTATTGATGAACGAGAAACCAAGGCCATTTAGATTCTGCAATGCTTGGGCTAAGGATGAAAACTTCCTTGATCTGGTTAGGGAAGCTTGGAGTGTGGATATTCAAGGATGCCCTATGTTTGTTGTAGTGCAGAAATTGAAATTGGTAAAACAGAAGATGAAGTAGCTGCATAAAAATAGATATGGAAACTTGGGGGGAAGAATAAAAGATATGGCAGCAGAGCTACAAAATGTTCAAGCTTCCATGCAGAATGCTTTATTTGATGAGACTTTGGCTGCAAAAGAAAAGGAACTTCAACGTGAATTAACTAAGCTTGAGAGAGCAAATCTATTCGTAATTGCCCAGCGAGCTAAAGTAACTTGGCTAAAGGAGATGGACTCTAATTCTGCTTATTTTCATGCCAAAGTGAATGAGAGGCAACATAGAAGTGTTATTAACTCCATCCTGAACAGTGAAGGAGTTAGAGTGACTCAGCCTTAACTTATAGAACAAGAGTTTTTAATGTTCTATCAAAACTTGTTTGGAAAGGCAAAAGAAGGTGTTCAAGCAATTGATATGAATGTTATCCGCAGGGGTAGAGTGTTAACTACTGAAGAGTTAGAAGAGTTATGCAGGCCATTTACTGCTAAGGAAGTGGAGACTGCCCTATTTTCAATTCCTTCTAACAAGTCACCAGGGCCTGATGGATTCACTTCAGGGTTCTATAGAGCAGCTTGGTCAATAATTAAAAAATGATGTCACAGCTGCTGTGTTGGATTTCTTTGACAGTGGGAAAATCCTCAAGCAAATTAATGCCACCAATATTACTATTGTTCCGAAGGTGAGTTGCCCAAATGGTGTCAGTGATTATAGGCCAATAGCTTGTTGTAATGTCATCTACAAGGTGATATCAAAGCTCTTAACCCAGAGGATTAATGAAGTGCTGAGCATGCTGGTTAGCAGTAATCAAACTGCATTTGTGAAGGGCAGATCTATAACGACAAATTTATTGATTTGCCAAGATCTGGTGAGGAACTATCATAAAAGTAGGGGGCCAACTAGATGCTTAATGAAAATTGATCTACAAAAAGCATATGATTCAGTGGATTGGGGTTTTGTTAATGCAATGTTAAGAGGGCTGAACTTCCCTGACAGATTTATTAACTAGCTTATGCTTTGTGTTTCTACTACCAGATTTTCTGTAATGATAAACAGACAACCAAAGGGTTATTTTCAGGGGCAACGAGGGCTTCGACAAGGTGATCCAATCTCGCCTTATCTATTTGTGCTAGTGATGGAATATCTCACAAGGAAATTGAAGGAGTTAGATATGCAGGAGAAGTTTAAATATCATAGTAAGTGTCGAGTGATGCAACTTACGCACTTGATCTTTGTAGATGACATTATGCTTTTTTGTAAGGCTGATGAGGAGTCCACTGTTTTGATGATGCAAAAGTTTGAGGAGTTTGCCCGAGTCTCTGGGTTGGAAGTGAATAGAATGAAGAGTCAGGTTTTCTTTAGTGGTGTTAGAGAAGGGCAAAAAGCTGCTTTAATTCAGAAGCTGGGTTTTGCTGAGGGACAGCTTCTAGTTAGATATTTGGGGTTGCCATTGATTTCAAAAAAGCTGTCTCCTGGGGCATGTCAACCTATTATCGATAAAATTCATCAGAGAATTGGCTCTTAGGCAACGAAATTCCTTTCCTATGCAAGTAGAGTTCAACTAGTTAACTCTGTTTTATTCCACATTCAAGTTTTTTGGAGTGGTGCTTTATTGATTCCTAAGAAAGTGTTAAAGCTAATTGATGTTGGTTGTAGAAATTTCATTTGGTGTGGTAAATGGAATTATAATGCAATGTCTCTTGTAGCATGGGATGATGTATGTGTGCCAAGGAAAGAAGGGGGACTAGGGGTGAAGCAATTGCTGCATTGGAATAAGGCAGCATTAGGCAAATTGGTTTGGAATATATGTCAACATCAAGAGTCGCTAT